ATTGAAATTTGGCCAATGACATGTGGAAAAAATGTGTGCAACTTCTATGAAGTGTCATCAATGGGAGGGGCACACCAGTCTTCCTTCTGCCTGGAAGGTGGACATGATGGCTGGAATCCGAGTAGTCATTTTAGAGCACAGCATGAATGATGGCAGAACCGTAACCTAGAGTACTTGCTATCCCAATGCTGGATTGCATTCTTTAGCTTTTTCTTTTCAGATAACTTGTGATGTGTATAACATGATAATATAGCCTTCTCTTCTCTTATGTGAGTCTTCCTCTTCATTTGGGCCTTTGTTGGTTGGTTGTTCATTTTGGTCATGCAGCCAAAGCTAAACTCAGCAAATGGATCTCCTTTTTATGGTTTATTATGGTTCTATTATCTATTAAATTACACACAATTTTTTTTTTTGCAAGATGGGGAAAGCTGGAACAGATTTTCTCAAAGACCTAGTACATAGAAACACGTGCTATATCTAATAGACCCCTTCCCCCACTTTGTACAAAATTCTAGAAAATGACAAAAAAACATGCCCACCCCAATGGCCAAAGAAATTAGGCATAGAATGAGAAAAAAGTCTTCGAAAGCCTCTGAAGAGGTAAATAATTTGGGTTTTAAATTCCCCTTCCTTTCTTAGAAGACTTGTAGAAGATAGCCCATTCTGATCTCTGGGGCTGGGTGGTAAATATGGCCCGCACTGAGCCTGGAGCTTAGCTCCATGTTGGCATTAATCCTATTATGTCAAGACTTTTTTAATCAGTGCAACCCAGCTGCTATTTCTCTTGCACTAAGTGAAGTACAGTCCTCAGCTGGTGCCCATCATCCCATTAGATGTATGAAAGACTGATACCCACGACAGAAGTCACCATTGCTTTCTCTCCCAGGCCTATGATTCACATCCATATTAGGGCTGTCAGGAACACGCCAGCTCAGTGTTAAGAAAATCATCCAATACCACCTCCCAGAATGACAAGATATCATTCTGAAAAGCATTTTAAAAAACATTTTACATTTTCTTCAAGCAAGTGGGGAATGGAATAATAAGTTGGTGAGCCCCTAAGAGTACACTCCTTAGAAGAAATCCCACAGAATTGTCAATATGGCTGCCTTTTCTTAGAAAGACAATCAGTGACTAGGATACCATTCTCCATCGGGAGCCATGGTGTTGGTCAGTAGACTTCAAAGCCTATCTTGTTCCTCTACAAGGCAAAGGACAACTCATCATGGCTCTCGGGCTGAAGCAGAAAGGATGCCATGGTCAACTCCTGCCATTTTATGAGAATAAAAGAAGATTTGGGTTTAGATTGAGAAAAGTTTTTAAAGTAGCAGTTAAAATGTTTGGTTTTAAATTTATGCACAACAAGCTTTTCCTAGATTAGTCCTGGTGAACATGAGATACTCACTGCTTCTCTCTCACACCTCTGGGAAACATCGATTTTGGACTCCTGCTTACCGAGTTCAGATGTGACTCAGGTTACTTCTTAACACAGCACACTAAGCAGCTACTACCAATAAATTGGCTTTTCCAAAAGAATGTTATTGGTTATTCCTGCTGGATGCTTGCAAGTTTGGTGAAAGTTATTTTATCCAGCACTGTTGAGCAGTGAGCCAAGGCCTTTCCACTGCATGTGAATCTCTGGAAGCTTCCACTTCACTTTTATTGGCTTAAAACACAGCACAGAATCTCCTCTATGATTTCCGTTTCAATCTCTTTCAAGTGAAATGAAACCTAAAGACATCTGTCAAGCAATCTAAGCTCAGAATCCTTATTTTATTTTTCCAATCTTCCCCACTGGCTCTATGCTGCACTTTGTACCTAGTCCATCTGTAATATGTCTTCAGGGATGACCTTTACCATGTTTTACTAAGACATTTGACTTAGTTTTCCTAGAAGCAACAACTCTGTAAGCTCACATTTCATCAGCTTACATGATAGTTAATTAAATTGCATAATTAAAATAACATGATGTAAATAAATTTGGGAATGATCCTAACAGAATTTCAAGGGCGTACAACAAGCTCAGTGGGAGCAGAATGCAGAGGTCCAGCTGTTGTGTGTTTTTCACCTGACCTTCAGGCAAAATGTTCTGCAGAAAGAAGAGGGCGATGACTTATCCTCTGGTTCAGTTAAATGCAGGCCACTGCAAAACAGGGGCCCCAATTTTCACTATAGATAGTGCTATGGCATGTTTTCCTTTTTTTGCAGGCATGTTTTATGTACATATATATTTTGAATTGACATACTAATTGTACATATTTATGGGATACAGTGTGTTTTGTCAATACATGTAGTGATCAAATCAGGTTAACTGGCATGTCCATCATCTCAGATGTTTGTCATTTCTTTGTGCTTGAGACATTCAAAATTGTCCTACTGTGCTATTTTGAAAGCTACAATTAACTGTTGTCAATCACAGTTACTCTACGGTGTATTGCACATTAGTAGATATTCCTTGTATCTAACTGCATCCCTGTGCCCATTAACCAATCTCCCTCTCTTCTCTTCCTAGCCTCTGGTAACCACTATTCTACTTGTTTCAGTTTTCACATATAAGTGAGAATGTACAGTGTTTGACTCTGTGCCTGACTTATTTCACTTAATACAATGTCCTCTGGTTCTAGTGCATGTTTCCTTAAGAAAAGAAAACCAATTAGCTCTGAATGTTCTCATACTATATTTTTTTGAACAAATATTTGTAATAGGGTGGGTTCTGTGTTTGTTTTACAAATGCACTGGGGAACCATGAAATGCTGTCAGCATTGGATGCAATCCTGGGCCACAAGTCCCACACAGCCTTGCAACTGACCCTGTGTGGCAGACCCTTGCATATCACCTCTGTTGTTTACTATGCTTACTATATGATCTCCCAGTCATCTCCAACAATAAAGGAACACACTGCCTTCCTCTGGGATGACTTTCCAGGATGAATTAGCATTGTTGGATGTACCTTCTATCTGAGTTTTTGCTTGCCTTTCTTGAATGTGGCCATTACCACACCACACATACAGCAGCAGGAAGCCTGTTTAGCTGGTCCTTCATCTTCTTGGTGAACTGTTGCACAGAACTTTAGCTCCTGTGTTGTTAGCACAGTTGATTTCCCTGGAAGTCCCAGGGAAATCCAGAACTTTGCAACAGAAAACTCACATTGTCATCACTGAAGATATTTTGAACTTGGGAAAAAGGCTTTGTTATCTTAAAATTTTTTTTAAAAATGATGGTAAATATACATTGCATAAGACTTTTCATTTTAACCTTTTGTGAGTGTATAATTCAGACATTAAATAAGTCATTTTTACTTATTTACTATTCATCGGTATCCACCTCTAGAACTTTATTGTCCCAAACTGAAACTCTATATCCACTAAAAAAATAACTCCCTTTTCTCCTCTCCTCTTAGCCCCTGGTGACCACCATTTGACTGAACTGAACTACTCTAGGTACCTCATATAAGTGGAATCCTATGATAGTTATGACTGTTTACATTTAGCACAATGTCTTCAAGGGTTATCCATGCTCTCTCCTTGCTTTTTAAATGATTTTCCTAGACTGCTTTCCTACTCAGACCATGCCACTGTAGCTTAACGTCCATTAGGAGGCCATTTTGAGGTGGCTTTTCATCCTTTAGCCTCATGCAAAGTGGCAATCAACCTCCACCCAAGTGTGAGTGCCAGATGTGGGCCTTTTATGGGAACTACCCCACGGTCCCCCAAATGTGGTTGTTGGGTTCCATTTGTCCTTTCCATGGTTCTAGGATTTTCCAATGCCTATTAAAACTTCTGCAACAATCAGTCCAAATACACAAGTTTGGCTATTCAAATTACTTTTTCCAAAAGTACTTTAAAATGCATTAAGTTATTAATTGCCTGCTGGCACTTTAATCAAATGGGAAAATTGACATAGCCAGAGTCATGTATTTTTGTGGAAAGAAAATTTATTTAAGAAGAAACAGCAGCTCTTACTGCTTAATTTAAACTGAGAAAACTGTGGAAAATCAACTGCTATGGAAAATTAATAAAACATTTCCAGCTGCAAACAGTGACTAATTGTACAAGATGAAGACTGTCCAGAATTAATAACTTGCAGTCTTCTGTGTGAAGAACCCCCTACCACTTCAATTTACTGGGAGATTAAATTACTTCTAAGTTTGCCATATTAAAACAGAACATGAATAAAACGTTAGTGAATGCACATCTATTATTTACTATCTGTGATATGGATATAATTATTTCCAAACAACTACAATGTGACGTGACCAGTAATATTTAAATGACTCTTTTAGCAAAGGAATCTACTACAGCACTTTTTTTGCATGAAAAAAAATCCTTCCCTTACTTCTAAAGTAAAAAAAAAAAAAAAAAAAAAATGATACCTAGAGAACTTCTGTAGATAGTAGGGCTCTGCCTCAATAGAATGTCTCCCTCTCTACATCAGATGTTGCTTTGGGAAACACACAAAGAAGAAAGTCTTAGCATTTCTTTTATGAGGTTTTAAATAAACCCTATTCCACTCCCCAGAGGATATCAAGGCAGATGCTTAAAGGCATCTCTTGGTGCTTGATGTGACCATAAGCTCATTTACCTAACAAATAGGCTCCTTTATGGGAGGCGGAAGAGAAGGCCAGATCAACTTCTGGAGGAAACAGGATTCACTCCCAAGGAGTGCATCGATGCAGATCCTGTCAACATTTATGGGCATATCCTTCAAGCTTGCTTAAGACATGGCATTGCCTTGTAGGACCTGGTTTTCTCAACAAAAAATGAGAATTAAATAAGATAAATACATTTTATCCCTTTTCTATCTTTGTTGCCAGGATTGGATTATTTTCTTGCCCCAAAGTGCAAGTCTGTCAACTTTCCTAGTGCATTGACACTCTTGGAGTTTCTAAGAAGAAAAATGGTACCAGAGGACACCATTTAATGACCTGCAGAGACCTGCTCAAGGGAGAGGGATAAATAAAAGAAATTTGGAAAACTAGGAGTTCTATTTTTGCAGGATGATCAATATTTTAGATTTGTTTAATTTTTATTTGTTTGTAAAATTTTAGATATGAAAAAATAACTTAAGAAACCAAGAGAGAAGGCACCAATTGAATGTGTGTTGAGGGAATATATCAAAGATGGAGATTTTCTCAGCGGAGAGGGACTGCCTTCTTCGGCCACTGATCCCTAATGCTCACACAGAAGGTGCATTCAGCATCTTGCTATTTGATATTGCTGGCAGGAAGGTCCAAGTATTGGCCTGAAGAGAATAAAGGCATGTTGTTTAGAAATGCAGAGGCTTAACCTGAAGCATAACTGGTTTGGGGTTTACCACAGAAGTTATCTGGACACATCATTTGATTTCCAGGTTTTAAATGTAATTCTAAACAAGATCTGACTGCACAGCCCTCTGCTGTGTGACACAGAGAGGCTTTATCTGCTACCAAATGCCATTCAGGCTTAGAATGCTGTAGAAGTGAGTTGTATAAATTGGGGCATTCTTTGAGGTCCTAAAGCATACTGCCTCTCAGAGGAGAAAAGGTAAGCCAGGCCTACAACCTCCTCCCTGCCACTCAAGCAAGAAACCATTCAGATTGTCCCTCTCTGTTTGGGTTCATTTTGGTTTTCCTTTTTCTAGAAACACTGAAGACTTGCTTTATCAGGCCTGGTCTTAGAAGGCCGAGCAGGAGCTGTGGGGACCATTGAATTTAGGAGTCAGTGAGACTGTTTCTCAATCCAGGAAAGCTGGCCTCCTCACTGCAAATGTGAGACACTCCTGCAAAAAGACAAAGTCTCCTTTGTCTTATTTTGAAATAAGGTAACAACACAATACCTCTCTGTCTCCCCAAGAGGAAAGGGGGGTTAACTTGTGCTTTGCTGGTGACTGTCAAGCTGGATTTGAAGGCAGGGATCACTAGACAGAGAAGAGGAAGGAACAGTGGGGAAAGAGCACGAGACAGGGAGAGTGGGGAGATGGAACACAAGGTCAGAAGGCTTTGGCCTAGACCCAGCCCTCCCTTTTGAAATCAGCAATCTGACCTCTCCTTTCATACATCATCTCACCATGGGTCATTGCCCAACCTTGAACTAAAACTAGGCAGTCTTCTTCTTGAGTTGTCTATCCTCAGGGTCTCCCACCCCCATATTTCTTCAGAACTGCCTTTGTCAAGGTCATTATGACTTTCACATAGGCAAATCCAGTGATCAGCTCCTGGTCCTACTGTTAGTCGATGTCTGATACAGCCCATCTCTCTTTCCTCTGTGAAACCTTTGAGGCAACTGGCTTCTAGAAGGTCACACCTTCCTTCTCTTTTCCTTCTGCCTCCCAGTCACTCCCTGGCCACCTTTTAATGCTGTGTCTTATCATACTTATCACCACCTCATCTTTACTACATTACTTGCTTATCACCTCTTCACAACTAGAATACAATCCCTGTGAGGGCAGGGAATTCTGTGTTTGCTCATGTGGTCCAGTTATAGGGTAGGCTCTTATTAAACACAGTATTGATGCAATGTTGGAGGAAAACAATGCAGGGATGCATTTTTTTTTCTTTTGGTGCTACTGGGGTTTGAACTCAGGGCTTCACATTTGCCAGGCAGGTGCTCTACCAGTTGAGCCATACCGCCAGCTCGAATACTCTTTTTTAGAGTATTTGACAATGATATAGTGGGATTCTATCTTACATAGAGATTAGTCTCTAAAGTCAGCTTTGAAGGAGAAAATCTCATATAGTAAAAAATCAGCCTTAAATTATCTTTTAGTTTCCAACATATCAATTTCAGAAATAAGGCCAACCTAGAATCAGAATAAGTCTCTCCCATTGAAACTAGAACAAGAATTACTATTTCTTTGGTTAAGCACTAGATGAACTGTCAGCTTGATTTAGGAACCAGGATGCACAAAAATGAATACTTTAAAAACCAGCCTCCCACACTTGGCACAGCAGTACTCACATGCTCTGAGAAGTAGGTGGCAGTGACAGGAAGGTAGACTCCTAGCATCAGTCCTCTGGTGACAGGTCCTCCAAGGCTTTTGTGCAATGGGTGGCATGAAAAGGCCTGTGCTTTTCAATCATTATTTATCTCTCTCTGAGTTCTTAGAGTTGAATTCACCTGTGTTACTTTACACTTTTAGACAACTCCACTGTGTGAAGACCAGCCAGCAAGTCTCCACTGTCGCTTACTGGTTTCTTCTATGGAACTTGCAAACATATCCAAGACCCACTCAAGACTTTCTCCATTATCAGTATCTCCAGGGACTGAGCCCAAGACTATGTTTATTTTTTCAAGTTCTATCACAGAGCAGATGTGTAGGGAGGGGTGAGAACCACTGCAGGGCACATGATGCTGTTTTCATGATCAAAAGTGGATCCAGTATTACTCAATTTTTATGATTTCTGGGTCCATCCTATGTCAGAAGGCATTTTTGTTTTAGGAGACTTTATAGTCCTGTGGGGTCTAGGGAGTGAACCACTAGGCAAAATTATAAAATAAACATTCCCTCCTTTTAGAATCCTTCTCCATAATGGTTCCTCATCTTCTCTCTTCTTTCCCCCCAGCACTCAAGACTGTCCCAGGGCAGGGAGAGTCCCCTAAGAGCAATGCATACCTTAGAAGTGTCCTCATGGGCAAAACACAATGGTTATTTCCTTCTTCTTCCAATTCCAACTTATCTTTTCCATTTCCTTTTAACTATTTAGAAACTAGTCTCATAAGCCAACTCTGCTGTTATGGGATAGATTTTGCCCCCACTCCTGAATTATATGCTGAACCCCTAACCCCTAGTACCTCAAAATGAGACCAGAATGTGGAGATAAAACATTTAAAGAAATGATGAAGTTAGAAAGACACATTAGGGTGGGCCCTAATCCAATATGACTGGTGTCCTTATAAAAGAAAATCTGGACAGGCAGAGACAGTAGGGATGAAGGTACACAGAAAAAGACCTTAAGAGAACATGGTGAGAAGGCAGCTATGGATAAGCCAAGGAGAGAGGCCTTAGGGAAAACCAAACTGCTGACATCTTGATCTTGGATTTCTAGCTTTCAGAACTGTTAGCAAATAAATTTCTGTTGTTTAAGGCCCCAGTCTGTGATATTCTGTTATAGCAACCATAGCAAGCAACCTAACGCAACTGTTAAGATGTCAACTACTGATAAATCAAGTGTTAAGTATTTGCCTCTAAATTATATTGTTAAGAAATAGAAAACAGAGGCTTTGGCCTTAAGAAGCTTCCTGAGTAATGCTCCTGAATTTTAAGGGCGTATTCTGGTTGTTTCTCCCTTGTCTTTCTAGACCCACTCTTTATCCTACTCTGCCTTTTCAGTGCTCTAGGAGCTGACCCAGAGAGCTGGATCGCTTAGACTCTTGCTCTCTGCCTTCCAGATGGGTTTGTCCAATAGAAAGCAGTAGTGGGAGATTAGAGGTCCAAGAAGAAATTGAGTGAGTGATCTCAATCTGTGTCCATGAAGGGCCAGATTCTGTCAATGTCTGGGTCCCTCCCTGGCTACAGCCTTGTCTACATTCTGTTATCTCTGTTCCCTCTCTTTCTCCCTCCAGGCCTACAGGAGGTCATGGTTTCCTGCCAGTCCTGGCCCTCAAATACTCTATCCTCCTGCTAATTTCCTTAACCCTACCCACACATCTACAAACAATCTCTTAATTAAGCTCTTTTTCATTATACCTCTTTCAATGTTTTTGTTGGGATACCGACCAATACAGACAGGTAACATAGTATAAGGAGAAAAATAAGCATTTTGGTGTCAGACAGCCCTGACAGCAACCCCATCCATCAATGTATAACTCTGAGCAAATTTCCCTGTCTCACTGATACTCAGTTTCCCCATTTATGTCTGGCAGTACTCGGTTTGAACTCAGGACCTTACCTTTACTTGGCAGGTGCTCTACCACTTGAGATATGCTCCTAGCAAGTTTCCCTATTTATAAAGTGGGGACAATAGCACTTCTCACAGCATTGCTGAGAGTGATCCCCAGCCAACAGCAGGCAGGAAAAAAAGACCACAGGAAATGAATTTGTTCAGCAACCAGTGAGCTTGGAGAGGATCCTGAGCTCCCAATAAGAAACAACTATAGTTTCAGCTGACACTGGTTTTTGGTTCAATGGACCCTCACCTACATAAACTATGAGATAATAAATTTCTGTTGTTTTAAAACACTAAGTTGGTGATTGTTCGTTTCACAGCAACAGACAACAAATTCATTTCCCAACACTATGCTAGCAAGTTCTTATTCTGACTTTAAGGAAGATGCACTCTGGTCCCAACTCAGTCACAGAATTGCTTCTTTTCTGTGAGTTCCCATCAGCAAATGACATCCCTACCCCTGCATTTCCAGCTCACTTATCTTGATTATTCACCCTCCAGGAATAAGATTTCAAACAACATTCAATAATAAAAACCCCACATCCAGTTTCTGCCCATGCTGGGACACAAAGTGGTCTGAACAACTCTTGGCCAAAATGATAAACAAGTGAGGAAGAACAATACAGAATTGTTTCTGACTTCCAGTGATATTTTTAGTAGGCCCACTTAGTTTTCAAAGTAATAATGGAAGACTTTGGGAAGTTTCACAGTGTGAGATAGGAAAAAAAAAAGCCTGTCAAGAGGTGAATGTACCAGCATGAATGGTCTTGTCAGTGCTACCTGTGTCTTTAAGCTACCATGATCTCTTCTCAAGGGATCATGGGGCCAAAACTACCAATCTTAAAGAAACAAGCAAGTATATTTTTAAGTTTTTTTTACTTTGGTTATTTGTCACAGGGTTTCCCTATGCAATACAGGCTGACCTTGAACTTGTGATCCTCCTGCCTCAGCCTCCCAAGTGCTGGGATAAAATGAATCATGTAGAGAACATTGTCTATGTAGTAGAAGTGTGCCTGGGATGGGGGTATAAAATTTAAGGCCAGATGTGGTGGTGCATGCCTGTAATCCCCAGTACTCAGGAGATGGAGATTGGGGGGGATCACTGATCAAGGCCAGCCCGGGCACATAGTTAGAAAGGACACTTCCATCTCAACAAATAAGCTAAGATGTAGTGGCATATGACTGTAATCTCAGCTACATGGGTGGTGTAGGTAGGAGGTTTGTAGTTTGAGGCCAACCCCAGTGGCAAAAATGTAAGACCCTATCAGAAATATAAGCAAAAAAGGGCTGAGGGCATGGCTCAAGCGGTAGAGCACCTGCATAGCAATTGAAAGGCTCTGAGTTCAAACCCCAGTACCACCACTAAAAAAAAAAAAGA